AAAAAAAAAAAAAAAAAAAAAACACTCTTAAACAGAACTACATCTACTTGACAAAGCTATACCACCCGCATAAGGGAGCGGGAACTAGGTGAAGGCTGTGAAGCGATCACCGTTCGCTTCCAGTCAATCCTAATCATCACGATAGTTACACTTAGTTAATTTGATGCTACCTGGACTCGAACTGCGGTTAATTTGATGCTATCTGGACTCGAACTGCGGTAAATCCTCGATCTACCGTTTGCTTATCTCACCCATACGGTGAGGACTTGTGGTGAAAGTCGAAGTCGGACACAGGATCCATATCCATCATCATCTTTAATTACTCTCGAGTGTGCGCACTGAGCTTCCCATTTGATTTTTTTCCATCAGGATTTGACCTCAGGTCTGTATTCCTATTTCAACGGTTCATGGGGGTACCAACTGAGCTATGGACTATGGTAGGCCGGTTGGTAATATCCGAAACTCGTCAATATGGCACGCTTGCGGTTAAATAGTGACAACACTCGTAAGCATAATAATAATAATAATCCGGAGATAATATTGCGGAGCGTATTTTACTATTTTAGTATTTTGCCTGTCTGCTACTAACCTGCTTTTGGGTCTTGAAAAGGGGTATAAAACTTGTTAAAAAGGGGTGACAAACTATAAATGAACACCCTACACGCGCATAAGAACGGTGTTGAAAAGTCGGAACCTTTAAGTAACTCTAGGGTGTGAGTGCTTAGCTCGTGCATCGTTAATTGGGGTGGAAGGTCAAACGACTACTCTATGGTGGTTAGCACTGATGAGCTCATGTGTCCCTCCCTGACTGACCAGTGTGAGTGCGACTGACTAATCAAGGTAGTAAGTGAAAGAGACAGAAATCTATGGCACAACGGAAGGAGAGAAAGACCTATGGCGTCGAGTGCAAGTCTACTGTGAGCATCCTCACAATAGGATCGATCACCTGTGTTCCCAACTTGAGTTTGTCAAAGACATACAGCGTCAAGTACAACTCTACTCTACGATGACCATCCTCACAATAGGATTATCTGGGACGTACATGAGGACACTCATGACCAGATTCGGTCGAAAAAGTCCAAGTATGAATATGACCGACCTAACTTGCATACAACCTGCGGCTGACTAATACCACATTCGTCGGCCATACTAAACCTATGAAGCAATTAAGTGAAAAAAGACGGATTGGCTGACAATGCGTCGCAATGTCTGTCTGCTGACCATATTGTGAATGGCAATGTTAGGGAGAAGGGGGCGGGGG